CTTCTGCCAGCTTAGCATTTTCTATCTAGTATGTCATAAGCAACGGGAATGTCCCGTTGAGCTCTGTATGGGTAATGTGTTTTTAGCCTCCAATACTCTATTTCCATGGCTTATAATAATACTCCATGTGCTTTTTGCAGCAAATTGCAATAGCAAGAGAAGGGGACTTACTGACCAAGGAGCGGCTTTGCTGCGGCCTATCCATGTTTGAGGTCATCCTGACACGGATCCGGACCTTTCTGGATGATCCTATCTGGCGGGGGCCTCTGCCCAGCAATGGAGTCATGCATGTGGATGAGTGTGTGGAGTTTCACAGGCTGTGGAGTGCCATGCAGTTTGTGTACTGCATTCCTGTAGGGACACACGAGTTCACAGTGGAGTAAGTATGTGTTCTGTGACTCACTCTCTGGAAGAGGACAGTACTTACTGCTTGGGAGGTGGTTGATGAAAGAATTCCAAGTCAGCACTGATGACAAAGCTCTTCTAGAGAGTGCAGACATTGCCCACTGGCTAGATGCTAGTACAGTGGGTTTCCTTCCATAATGCCCCCCCCCAAAAAGACTCAAGATAAGGATACTGGAGTTATCTGAATCCAAAGCAACTCAAGGCAAAATCTGTTTCTGGGGAGTATGTTCATAGAGTTGTTCCTACCAAACTGACATTTACCTAAGTTGGGAGATTGCTTGTGCTCATCATTCTCCTAAGAATCTGTATAGACAAAAGACTTAATGGACCCTGATAACTGCTCTTTGGAGACAGACTCACTGGAGTCTGTCTGTTTGTCCATCCTGTTGCTTGTTTCTCACAGGCAGTGTTTTGGTGACGGGCTCCACTGGGCTGGATGTATGATCATTGTCCTTCTTGGACAGCAGCGGCGCTTTGCCGTGTTGGATTTCTGCTACCATCTTCTCAAAGTTCAGAAGCATGACGGCAAGGATGAGATCATCAAAAATGTGGTACGTACACATTTTTCTTGGGGAGGAATTGCAAGTTTAAACAAAAAGAAATCCAGAAAGTTCTTCTTAAATTGGCTCTATTTCCTTTTCTTTTTGCAATTAGATCTACTTCCCATCTTACTGTAGAGACTCTCTATTCAGGTTATTGGCTTACCGCTCTAGTCTTCTGGCTTTCAAGTCATGATGTGCTTTTGTAACTGCTTTTATCATCTCTTCCTCATCTTATGAAGGTCCCCGTAATTGAATTATAGAAAATAAGTCAGCCATTATTATGTTCTCACACTTTCTTTCATCTCTCCTTTTAGAACATTATTGTGAGACTTTTTCTGCCTTCCATGTGACTGGCTGACTGATTTTGGTTGCTGCCAGAACTAATCACAATGTGCTTAAGAAATACTGCCATTGATTATCTCACTTTTAAATGTGCGTGTGTCATCATCGTCGTCCCCTACCCCAGGGCCCTGAAGGATGACTGTGCTTCCAGTCTTGAGGTCACTGGAGGCACAGCCATCAGTACCCTCTAACTGTAGAAATGAGGCATACTTCCTGCTGTCGGCTCATTTCCTCACATGCTTTCCACACAGCACTTTCAAGCCACAAAGAACCATCCACTTTTGCCACATCTTCCGTCCCCAACTCACACTTCTCTAATCAGATGATGGGGCCCGCCCGCCCGCCTGCACAAATCCAGCTTTCAAAGCTCTTGTCAGTCCCACCTGGGAAGTGCTTTTAGAAAAATATGCACGGGTGCAAAGGAATTCATTGTGGGCATTTCTCAAGGGTTATGGTAGCTCTTGCACCTCTGTTTTCAATATAGCCAAAATACTTTTTCCTGTATCTTTGAGTTAACTAACTGGGAATTTTACGTTCAAACATTTTTTTCTGCATTTTAAGTTGGTTAAAATCTTGGCAGGAATATTTAAACTGGAACACTTCCCCTTTTGTTACTTTATATTCCAATTCTGATGTCTGTGTCGTATCCTTCTGCTACATGACCTATTTGCAAGCTTCTGTGTTGTTTAACGGGATTTAAATGTTGAAGATTTGCTGCTGTGCATTGCCGATTGTTAACCCCGTGTTATTAAGAGTTTCTCGTGAAGGCTCCAGGTATAGACCAGGCTCTCTCTCCATCCCAGTGTACCCTTCTCATCTTTGCTTCCTGTGTGGGCAGAGGAACACTTTGAAGTTCTGAGTGTCTGTCACCTTTATCCAGACAAAGATTCAGCCAAGCATCTTCTTCTTCATAGTACTGTTAAACTGGAAATGCACAACTTAAATATTTTATTAGTTCACAGGTCTTTGCCTACTAAACATACTGTATTCGTGTTAATGTTCTTTTTCTTTGCTTTTGGGCTTTGGAGAACAGGGTCACCCAGCATCACCTAGACATGACCTAGAACTTCACCATGTACCCCCAGGCTGACCTTGAACTCACAGAAAACTCTTTTCATCTTACATAGTACTGTTATAGCCACCACTCCTAGCCAACAGACATCAGATAAATGAAGTGAATAGGACTATACTTTAAAGACTTGAATTTAAATTGGAATGTATTCATTCCATGGCAATATTTAAAAGATGGCAGGAGTGAACGTAATTTTCTATACTGTTTCTGTAGTAGAGTCCTTGCACTTTTACACAGCAAAGCTAACAGTTTGATGTAATTGTAGCCACTGAAGAAGATGGTGGAGAGGATCCGCAAGTTCCAGATTCTCAATGATGAGATCATCACTGTCCTGGACAAGTACTTGAAATCTGGTGACGGGGAGAGCACACCTGTGGAGCACGTGCGCTGCTTCCAACCACCCATCCACCAGTCCTTAGCCAGCAGCTAAGGCTAAGCTCACAACATCCAGTGACTGACTGATGGTGTGCTTGTCTTTATGTAAACTATACTGAAATTTCTAGGGTTATTTTGTCTCAACCTACTAAAGGGGGTGCTTTTTGATTCAGAAGCTTAACTTTATAAAACTTACTATTTTTCTAGACTAAAATTGTATATGCTTTGGAATTGGGAAGTATGAGAACTTGGTTGCCAATTGTTGCCATTATTATTGTGGTCTTAACAGGTATTTTTAGGTTGAATGTTCCAGTAGCTAGCTATGAAATACTAAATTCACTTGTCCTGTAAGCAGCATAATAACAATTAATTATAATTTAAAAATTCCTTACCAATTTTGGTTAAACTTAATGACTGGCTTTATTTAGGAATTTTTCTGATTGTCTTAAGTCATTGTTCCCTTTTATGTCAAAATTGTTTCCTCTGCTTCCACAAAATCCAAAAGTGATAATATCTGATTTGTGAGATAGGATTTAAAGATTAGAGAAATAAAAATCAATGCAATCTGTCTGAGTTCACTTGCTGGCATGGCAGGACATTCCCTCAGCTAGCACATGTTGGGCTTGGGCAAAGTCAGCCACATGTGAGACAACAGCTGTCTGTCCACGGAGGACGAGACAGACCACCAGGGGACTGGGGAGAATTTTAGCCCTGTCTACAACAGCCTCCCTCCTGCCTTCTCAACTGCTGGAGGAATTGTCTCACTCGGCTCTACTACTACTACAAGTATGAAAGCAGATAGAAAAGAAACAGACTTGGGTACAGTGATGTGCGCCTGACATCCTCCCAGCCGCCGCTTGGGAAGCTGAGGAATGAGGATCACTGGAGCCCTGGAGTTCAAGGACAGCTTAAGGAACATAGCAAGATCCCCGTCTTAAAAACACTTACACAAAGTGACATCATTGGGCTGGGAAACGCCAAAGTCCAAAAGCTTTGAGCTTTATTTTACACAGAAAATAAAACACAGGTAGGTACCATTCTGCTGTACTGTAAACCTGAGTTACATCTTTAACGAGCCTATTATCAAAAAGTTACCTAAAATACTTTTTTAAAAGTTAACGACTATGTTACCAAGTGATAGCCCAAATAAATGTTTGTGTACGTATAAAGTGTTTCACGTACAACACATTCATTCTCAATGAGGAAACTTTCCATCCCCAAGGGAATAAACATTGGCTTTTTTACATGTGCAAAGTAAAACAGGTAACAGTACATAAACAGACTTACAGTGTGGCGGGGGAGAGGGAGACTACTATCTCTGGTATTGAAGTTACATAGGAAAACTGAAAATGTAGCTCAGTGTAAGAACATTTGTGTAGAATATACGAGATACTTTTGACACCCAGATGGCCACACTGAGGGAAAAGGTTTAAGAGCTCCTCAGTAATACAAAGCTGTCTCACCTACCCACACCCAACATCCCCCAATAAAGATTTCAGAAAACTGGTACCAAGCCACTATGCAATTGTGCTCAAGAACAAAACACATGCATAGGCCCTAAGTTCAGTTCTTCCTATCATCAGGGTAGTCTGGCGGGAGAGTGTGTGTGTGTCTGTCTGGCCAATACGTGACTGAGAAGTGGGCAGGTCTGAAGCTGTACGGTGCTCCCTACATTGGCCATCCTGCAGTTGCTAAAAAACTGAAATATGTAAGGTTTAAACAGAGACCATTTTAAAGCTAAGAATAAGAGTCTTGTTCCAATTTGTCCTTTTATCCAAGCATGAGTTTCTAAGTTTAAGAAACTGCATGAGCTGTCTGTGGTGGTGCTCAGTTTTAATCCCAGCACTTGCGAGGCCAGAGGCAGGCAGGTCACTGAGTCTGAAGCCAGCCTGGTCTACAGAGTGAGGTGTAGAACAGCCAAGACTACACAGAGAAACCATGTCCCGAAAAAACAAAAGACAAACTGCATGAGTTTTCTGTGACATCTTAAGAGTTGTTAAAAGGGCTGAATGACAGCACAGTCCATCACAGATATACACCGAACCGAAGAGTCCAAGAGCTCGCTCACAGAAGACGACACAAACCTCTAGTCACTACAGTCACTATGGACATGGGAAGTACTGACTGACAGACAGCACAGTGGTGCTTTCCAAAAGGAAGCCATCAAATTCCAATGGGAAACAAATCACCACCTGAGAATAATTCTCTGGGAACCACATACACATACATTTATATAATCAAAAACCATAGTCTGGCGAGGGAACGATGGGATAGGAATCACAAAATGTACATTTTAATGTTCATCACCAATGGAAAAAATAAAACATTTTTAAAGGCTTAAATTTGTCATTAGTGCATTTAGATTTCTGGAGAATGAATAAAAATGTAAAATACCTTTACAATAATACAATGTTATTAGAAATTAGCCATGTACTGAGGTCATTTTAGGGAGCTACCATTGTTTAAATATAAGAAAAGTAATTTCTTGATCCAAATCAGTGAAAACTTAAAAAAGATTGTCTTCAGAGGACATTATTTGAGGACAGTATTTTTTTTTTTTCAGATACATTCTGATACTCAGAAATCACTATAACAATTATAGGTTTTCAATCATATCCTTAAAAAGATGTCAGGTTTCCATTTCTACGGGAGATATTGTCACCAGTGTGTTCAGTCCCACAGGGTAAGCCGCCTTCACTATTACTAAGAACTTCATACATACTAGAAAGACTGCCATTCACTGCTTTTTCATCTTTCCGAAAAGACACAGGCAGGCTTGCTGGACTAAAACTGACATCTTTAAAGGCATGCAACAAAAATATGCCCACGATGATTGTGCAGAAGCCACTCAGAGTGCCAATGACATCATCAGCAGGCATACCTTGCCACTCTTTAAAAAGGATAGCGGAACAAGTCAGAACTGAAGTGGTGAAGAACACATAATATATTGGAGTCACAATGGAAGTGTTGAAAATGTCCAGAGCCCGGTTTAGGTAATTGATCTGTGTACTCACACAGACCACGAGGCTAAGCAACAGAATCCAGGCCAGGGGGTGCTGCAGGACAGGCTTTCCAGCCAACAACTCCTTGATGGTAATGCCCAAACCCTTCACACAAGAGACTGAAAATGCTCCAATCATAGAGCAGATTGTTATATACACAAGAATGTTTGTCTGTCCGTGCCGAGGTCCTACCACAAAGATGAATATCAAGGCCACAATGACCACAAATGTTGCAAAGACAACAAAACCTAGAGGAAGCAAAGAAAAGCTATATTGAATCAGAATGCAATGCACATTTAAAACAAACTCAATAGGAATGGTTTATGAATCCCCCAGTACTGTATATTCAGATTTATCTTGCCTATAAAATTGACTCCTTCCTATTTGATGAATTAATTTATGGAATTTGTAAGTTACTAATGAAAGGTAACATGTAACAATAGTACATACTGGAGGCCAGAGTGCTTACCTAGTATGGGTGAAGCCCTGAGTCTAATACCTTAGTACCACTTTAAAATACATGCTGTAAAATTAAAATATAATTCATAGCTTAAAAGAAAGACTTCTACCACTAACATTTTTAAAGGAGTCTCTTGCACCTACTTAAGTATTCTAAATCACAACACAAAGGGAAATGATAACCAGAACGGAGAAGGAAAAGCTAGTAGAGACTGCAGGAAGTACCCTTGAATATTCAACATTCACATATAAGTGGTTTTCCATCCAAGGGACACATCTGAAAACAAGGCAAGTACTAGAATAAGCATCGAGTCATAAGGAGATCCTGAAATACGGCTGGGGCTCTGGTTGAGTGTGGAGAAGAGATGCAGCACAGATGCTGAGGGACAATCATGAGCCAGGCACAGCTCCCAGGGGGTGTCCTCCACTGCAGAGAGCACACAAACGACCTTGTGCATTTTAAGATAAGGGGGGGAAGGGGGGTGGGGCATATACTCGTTACCTTAGTAGTCTGGAAATGGAGAAGAGCCATGAGGAATTCATGATTACCTTTGGCTATAACGAAAGTTGAAGCTGGCCTAGGCTACATGACCTTGTGTCAAAAAGCCACCCTGCTTCACACTCCATAAATAAAGGGTAGTTAAAGCAGACAAAAACAAGGATAGAAAGGCACCAACAGAAATTGCGTGCCAGAGAGCATAGATAATTCAAATAACACAGCAAATCTGAGAAAGCCGAGTCTAATTTAGCCTACCACTTGGGAGGCAGAGGCAGGCGGATCTCTGTGGGTTTGAGGCCACCTTAGTGTATGTAGATTTCCAGACAAACCAGGTGACACCCTGCCCCCTCCTCCACACACACACAAAAACACAGGCTGTATTATACATGGTGCAACAGAGTGTGGCTCAGAGCACTCACTCACCCACTGTAGAGCAGTACAAAGGTGAGAGGGGACACAGGGTCAAAGTTTGCCCACACTGCCTCAGTAAGAGGAACTGACCGTTTCACAGGGATAACTAAGCAAGTAAGACAACGATCAGTTGAGGCAAACTTCAAGACGTACAAGAGAAGGGGGGGGGGCGGCGGCGATGCACACCTAAAGGCCCGGGACTTGTGACACCGACGCAGGCAACACAAGCTGGCAGCCAGCCTGGGATATACAGGCAATGAAAGAAGGGGGAGGAAGTAAGTAGTCACGGCGTTTAAGACTAGATGTTCTACTGCAACCATATGGAGAAGTATCCGATGTACACTCAAGGAAACAAGTTAAAATATCAAGTATGGTAACACCGATGAAGCCTTTCTTACCTGGATCACCTAACTTATGTGACATTTCATTTAAGGTCTCAATCTCCTCCTCCTTTGGAGCATGAATGACCATAACTGTAGACCCCAGAATACTTAGCAAACACCCAATTTTCCCATGAAGATTAAGTCTTTCATTTAGGAAGTATGAAGACAGAATGGCACTAAAAAGGAAGAATAACAGGGTGAACATTTAAATTAGCTTTTTTTTCTCACTTTTAAAAAGTCAACAGACTAGCAATGCAGATTACTGACCTCAAACAAAAACACCTCTTGCTTTTAGATAAAGAAAATATACATTCAATCAGAAAACTGTTACAAAGATTTAAAGGTTGCGTTTACCTGATTTATGGGCATCCAACTAGTAAGATAAAAATGTGGCCTTTGGTGGGGCAGAGGTGGCATATGCCTTTAATCCCAGCACTCGGGAGTAAGTGCTTTTTACCTGCTGGGCCATCTTGCCAGCCTTTATGTGTTGATTTAATTGTGTAAGATTTGCCTATAATCATCCTAAGTTACCTGGAAATACAGCCAGGAAACAATGAGCATCCATTAGTTTGCCTACAAATTACAAGTTTTTACAACCTAGTTTTACTCAAACCTAAAAAGAAAGTACAGATAAACAAAATCATAGTATAATACAAGAAAAGTTAAGGATAAAACAACTTCATTTTATAGGTAATTTATTAGAAAGGGCAATAAAAGGGCTTAGCTTTCAAAATAGTAATAAAAAAAAACCTTCAAACAGGCTTAGCTATTTGGACTAATCATTACAATAACAAAACAGGGCAAATTTTATGTTGGTCTTGCGAAACAAGCACCTTAGGCCAGTCTTTAGAGGCATACAACCTCCTCCGAGACTTGATGTTCTATAGCAGTTAGTGTTCTATAGTAGCCTACCTACCACAGTATGTTATCCTGAATGGTGAATGCTAGGCAAGTGAAAGTGGGAATTCTCTAAAGTTGAAATCACTAATGTGCTGGTCCTGCATACAAGCCGAAGCATGCAGTGATTTTGTCCCATAAATCAGTAACGATACAGAGTGAGTGACTTTGAGAAGGCAGGACTACAGAATAGTAAGTCCTCAAGGCTGTTCAAGCGCACTGACATACAATAGATCTTACCTTACAAGAACACTGAGGGCGCCCAGCGGTGTCACCAGTGTAGCGGGAGCAAACGCATATGCAGCGAAGTTGGCCACTTCCCCAGCTCCCACTGAAGGGACAGACAAGACACCTCTTAGGCAGGGGTGAGGTCAATGCCTACACATTTCAGCCATACTGTCCGTCCCTGGCTTCCGCACCTTCTCCCACGTATGTTATTGGTTACCATACCTGGTATCCAACTCAAGAAACAATCTACAGTTTTTAATTTTAAAAAGCACAGTGTATGCTTAAAGGTAGGATAACAAACATAATTTAAAAAGCAGATACTGATATAAAAGTAAATTTCACAAGTTTTAGTGGACCCTCCTTTTAAAAAACCCAACCTTAGAGATACTAAGGGCCTGAGGATATATTTTCAATAGAGAACTTTTGCTCTCTGCCAGGTGCACAGACACCACCAATTGAGGACCAAAGCAAGAACTTATCCAGTGATGAGCCAGTGTATAGTCTACCTCCTTCTAAGACAAGCCTTTCAGAGTTCCGGCCAGAACACGCAATAGTTTCTGTTTTTGGCAACCAAAGTCTGACCCTTGTTAGTCCAATTCAAAGTTTCACTATCTCTTACCTACTTCCTCTAGGGCAGCAGCTCTCAACCGGTGGGTCATGAGCCCTTTGGGGCCACATATCACATTTTTACATAAGATTAATTAACAGTAGCAAAATTACAGTTACAAAGTAGCAAAGAAAGCAATTTTATGGTTGGGGTCACCACAACATGAAGACCTGTCTAGGGTGCCCCTCTAGAGCTTGTAGCGGTCCTGGATCAAAGGCTAGTCCTATCACATTGGCGCTTTATTCTTTTGAAGAAGCACCTGTTTTTCTCCAGCTTTGTAACTTGTTTCCAGTGAAAATGCTGATCCACTGATCCCGTGCACTATTATTATATGCTTCATTGCTGCCTTCTGTTTGGCGGGCATTTGCTACTTAGTGGTGGTGGGAAAGTTTTTGTTTTTCTTTTTGTTTTATTTTAATTACCTTTTTGAGACCAGCTCTCATTATGTAACCTAGGCTGACCTAATACTTTTTAATTTTACTTTTATGTGCATGGGTGATTTGTCTGCATGTGTGCTTGTGTGCCCTATGCACACCTGGTGCCTACAGAATCCAGAGAGGGTACCAGATATCCCAGAACTAAAGACAGTTGTGAGCAACCATGTAGATGCTGGGAACTGAACCCAGGTCCTCAGAAGAGCTACCAGTGCTCTCAATTTTTGAGCCATTTCTCCAGCTCCTGACCTTCAAACTCTTGATCTTTCTGCCTTAGCCTCCTAAACACTGGAATCAGAGTCATGTGCCAGCCACCATTCCAGGCTTCATGTTTTATTACATTTTTATAAGACATACGAAGCACTCATAGTCCATCACTGAGGAAAGTCAGGGTAGGAACCATGGAGGAAGCTGCTTTCTGGGTTTCTTAATACATGTGTGTATCTGTATAATCTGTATAATATATGAGTGTTTTTGTCTATCTGTATACATGTACACTGCATGCACTGCCTGCTATCCAAGGAAATCAAAAGAGGACTTCAGATTCCCCTGAAGTGTGAGCCACCACGTGGCTCTTCTGTAAGCAACAAGTTCCCTTAACCACTGTGCCATCGCTATCCAACTTGGCTGGCTTGCTTTCTTATACAAGCCAGGATTCTCCTGCCCAGATTGATAATTGCCACAGTGGACCAGGCCCTCTCATATAAATCATTAAGAAATCGCTCCACAGGTAAGCACAAAGGCCAGTGCTATGGAGGCAATTCCTCTACTGAGGCTCCCTCTTCCCAGATGACTCCACAGTTTGTGCCAAATTGACAAAAAATAACCAGCACATCTTTTCTCCCTGACCAAAGAGTCTATTCTGATTACATGCCATTGTCAAATGGGGAGGGGGGGTGTAGTGTTTGCATTTTAAGCCTTCTTACATCGTCCTCACTGACTTCCAATGGTCTTTCATACCGCACTCAGAGTAACCGGGGCTATAAGAACAGACCACTGCCTGCGCCTGGCTCAAGTACAGCACCTCTACAACCAGCTGCACTTTTTTCTGCCATTCAAAGGTTTCGTGTAAAACTAGATGAGAGCACATGCCTTTATCCCAGCACTTGGAAAGTGGAAGCAGGAGGTCAGAAGTTCAAGATCGTCCTTAGCTATTTATTACCTTAGCAGTTTAAGTCCAGCCTGGGCTATGTGAGACAATGCCCTTTATTTATTTAATGTGCGAGGCCCTAACTGTGTAGCTCTGGCTATACAGAGACCTGTCTGCTTCTGCTGTGAGCAGCCATACCCTGTGAGAGCCTGGATTTAAAGACGACTAAAGGGGGGGGGGGGGGAGACAAAAAACAAACAAACAAACAAAAAAAAAAAACCAACACTTTTTTTTATTTTTGTGGTTTTTTTCAAGACAGGATTTCTCTGTGTAACAGCCCTGGCTGCCTTCACTTTGTGAATCAGGCCAGCCTCAAACTCAGAGATCTGCCTGCCTCCGCCTCCCAACTGTGGGGAGGCAGTATCTTTTCTCCTCTACTCGTGAAGTGTACACGTAACTCAATCTATATTTTGAGTATCTGATATTTGAACGTCTACATGTTCTTACCTCCTAATGACCTCCTGCAGTATTTTGGCTTTACATAGATAAGTACTCCAATTTTTTGGCCACTAGTCTGAATGACCTGGTAGAAGTCCAGACCTTTCTATCTAATTGCCAATTTCACCTGCTTAAATATTTTATGTGAACGTTTAACATTAATGTCCTCAGAACCAACTCCTGATCTGCTCAGGGCCTTGCTGTACCTTTAGCACCAGCACAGTCATTTCTGTGTGAAGACTGTGGCCAAGTCTTCAGTCCTTCCTTTATGTCACACATTTGACCAGTAAGAAAATACATACATCTTGTCAGCTCTACATTTCAAACATACTCAGAATTCTCACTACACTCCCTGGCACTCCCTTGGTCCATGGTGTCACGCCCTTTAACCCCAGCCACCTGACTGTAGTCTCTACATGGTCCATGCATCAGCACAGCAGCCAGACAGAGGACATCGCACCTTTTGTTCCGGATCGCCAATGGCTTTCCACCTAACATCAAGCCAACATCCTTTCTGTGACCCCAAAAGCCCACATGACTTAGCAAGAGCCCTCATTTCTCCAAGAGCATCTCCTACTGTCGTTACTGCTCTGACTCCCTTACTTCAGGCCTCTCCTTAATGCTCCCTGGGGGCTAAAATTCTAGTGCTAGAGAACACATCACTCTAACTTTGCCAGTGTAAAGGTAACACTTTACTGACAAGGCTTGTTGGCCCAGACTTTAGCAAATAACCAGGCAGTGGTGGCACACAACTTTAATCCCAGCACTTGGGAGGCAGAGGCAGGCGGATCTCACTGAGTTCAAGGCCAGCCTGGTCTACAGAGTGAGTTCCAGGACACCCAGAACTGTTACACAGAGAAACCCTGTCTCAAAAGACAAAAAACAAACAAAAGCACTTGTGTCAGATGTAAAGTAAAGCAAGCTTGCAGTCTCTAGAGCCTAGAGTCTTTCCCAGGGTGGCACACTGATATGACTGGCTGTTGTTCAGGGATCTTTCTAAAGATAGTTTGAATGTCTTCACAACATAGCAGAGCTGGCTTCCCCCCAAAAAAGAGGGGGGTAAAGGCAATTCCATTTATGATGTAGCCTCAGAAGGCATACATCATGACTTTCCTGGATTCTGTGATCATACTGGGCTAGCACTAATTCCATGTAAAGGAGAATTACCCAAAAGTGTGAGTACAGGAGGCAAGAAGGACTGGGGACATCATAGAGGCTATCTCCTTCATGGGCTTGTCACCACCCTTAGCTAGGTCTGTAGTTACACTTCCTTCCTTCCTCTCCAATGCCCTTCCCTCACATCCTCAATTGTCCACCACTCAATACTATCTTTGCAGTAAGGTGTGACCTTTGTGGTCTCCTACCTAAGAGTCAGTCATCTACTCTCCAGTTCACACCCCCCTTATATCCCCTTCCAGCTATGCGCCACCACACACACACACACACACACACACACACTCTTCCCTTTTAACCTACTATTCCTGCTTACTGCCTGCCCCACTTAAAATATAAGCTTCTGGTAAGCAGGATTTGGTTTTGGGGGGAACAGGTGCTTTTCCCCTCTTACTGGTATATCTTCAGCACTAACAATGCTTGACATACAAGAGGCGATCAACAGATAAGCACCTGTTGAATATAAAGTCTCAGGCGTCTCAAGAACATTTTAGTTCACATTTTTAAAAGATTCATTTTTGACACACACCTTTAACCCCAGCACTCAGGAGGCTGAGGCAGGTGGATCTCTGTGAGTTCGAGGCCAGCCTGGTCTACAGAGCGAGTTCCCTGAGAGTCTAACTTGAATGCATGTATGCATACTGTGAGTGTCCTTGGTGCCCACACATCACAAACGTGTGTTGGACAGACACACTGGAACTGCATGCAGTTAGGATGGTTGTAAACCACCATATGGGTGCTGGGACTCGAGCTCAGGTCCCCTACAAGAGCAACAGGTGCTCCTAACCACTGAGCCATCTTTCCATCCTCTTCACCAAAATAAACATCTTGTTAAATAGATACTTCCTTTCCAATTTAGAATGAGAGCTAATAAAGGAAAAGAATTAAAAATCTGATTTTTTTCCTACTAACTCCCATTTACACACACACACACACACACTCACACACGGCTCTCACACACACACACTCACACACACACACACACACACACGGCTCTCACACACACACACACTCACACACACACTCACACACTCACACACACACACTCACACACGGCTCTCACACACACACTCAAACACACACTCACACACACTCACACTCACACACGGCTCTCACACACACACTCACACTCACTCACACTCACACACACTCACACACACTCACACACACGGCTCTCACACACACACTCACACACACTCACACTCTCACTCACACACACTCACACTCACACACACTCACACACACACACGGCTCTCACACACACACACACACACTTGGTAGCAGGGGAATCAAATCTTGGGTTTTTACATATTAGCCATGTGCTCTATTCTTCCGTACCCCAACATACACATACCTTTTAACCTACTTATCCTGTAAATGTTTTTAATGGAAAAGATATATCAAAAATGTTTTAATTTGATTATTTTTTAAGATCTTATTCAAAATAAATAAGCAATTAACTGCGTTATTTTTATAGGCCTAAATCTATTGAATCTAACTTATGAAAAGATGTTAAGTTTTAAAATTTACTATTATGAGCTGTAACATGTCAATATCTTAACATATAGCTATAATGTTTACTTGAAATATTGTGTATACATACTTGATAGCAGTCCAGCCCACCACAACCATTCTTTAAGATATGCATGGCCACCTTGACCTGTGAATGAAGAAATATTTCATTTCTTTGGAAGATTATCTTCTCTTGTAAAAGCTGTGTCAGTTACTAAGTAATCACAGATTTTAAAATGTCTGATTATGAGATTTCTTGGATATTTTATGATTGCTGTAAAAAGACATGAGGATTGAGAAAAATTTTCAAAATGTTTACATTAGTACTATATTTGAGTTAAAGAACAAACCTAACCCTTGTAGTTTAAACAGCAGCTTTAATAAACAAGGAAAATAAACCAACAAAAAGTAGCAAAGCTGGGCATAGTGGTACACCCCTGCAACCCAACACACAATTCTCCCGCAAGAACAACCCTGCACGTCTGAAGCCAGCCCGGGCTAGAGTTAAGTCCCAGGAGGGCCTTTCTGGACGGAAGGCCTTACAGAAATAGCTCACCTTCAAAGGAGGAAGCTGTTTAGATGTGTGCAGCCCCACCTGAGAGAGCACTGTGCTCATACAAAGACTGCTCATAACCTGGGCTGCCAGGAGACAACCTCCTTTTCCCTTCGTTTTTCCCCTTGACCAAACCAAGTGAGGAAGCAATTGATACTTCAGCCTTTGTCCATAAACACAGTGAGGTGGGTGGTGGTGGTGCACACCTTTTACCCCTGCACTTAGGAGGCAGAGTCATAATTCTGGGACTGTAGTGGATACCCGTGGAGCGAACTAAGCTTCACGTGTACCGAGTATCCTCCAGGGTCTTGTAACATATCAGCAATGTGAGGGGAAACAACTTACACCATTCAGGTCAGTTAGGGGAGTACTCAAACCAGGCAAGGCCATTCTTTCCCTCATGCAATTTGAAATCAAGAAAAACTTCTAAGGTGGAAGTCAGAAATTCTACTATCACATACAAAATATCCCAGTCAGAGCCTATTTCCTCCTGTGCAGACATAATGAAACTAAATCGGCACTGGTCCTGTTCCTACTTTGACAGTAACTATAGAAGTGAACAGTTAATCACTTTTGACAACTTATTTTTCTCATTACAAAACTGGTGTCTGATTACCCAACAAATATTCAGAAATCTCTTAAACATTCAAATGTTCTAATATATTCACAAAGCACGAAGACAGTGTTTCCATATGCAAAGAAACTGAGTGCTTGAGTATCTATGTACTTCTGATACCTCCAGGGCATAACTTACCTGCCCTCATGGAACCTTTTCTGGCAAGTCGCAAAAGGCCTTTTTTTTTCAAAATGAAACTCCCTCCAATGAAAATGCTGGAGGTCATAGCCAACCCCAGACCGATATAAAAGTCATATTTTCCACGCCCCAGGCTCATTTCGTTTGTTACTTAAGTTCCTGTGAGTGACATTGATCACAGAACAGAGAAAATGCTTGAACTGGAGGAAGGATGATAGTCTTCAAATCTAAATGATACAAAATAAAGTGAGATTTTCACAACATGATCATGACAGCTCATATACAATTCAAATTATTTACTTCATGTCTGTGCTCACAAAGGAGAAACTTATTTACTGCTACTGATTAGAATACAAATACTAATCTAAACTAAGCACTAACCCAATTATATTTCTTCTTTTATAGCAAAAGACTACTGTAATACAAAGTAAATTTTGGAATAATTTTATAAACGCTAGCTTTAAATTGTTTTTAACTATTTCCAACCTTAGGTGATATTCCATAATATAACTTTGCTGTAAGGAAAAGAACAAAAAATTACATATAACAATACATAAATCTAGGTTATCAATACACTTGCCAACTTCTCAAACATCATTAAAGATTCATATACAGAAGTTAGTATTTTTCTCATGCACCTAGTGTTCCTTAAGAAATACACCTGGGGATCAGTGTGGTAACACCTATATAATCCTGGCACTTAGGAGGCAGACGCAGGAGGAACTGGGGTTTGAGGCCTGAGAGGGTCAAGAAAGGAAGCTGTATGAATATAGGAAGTATATACTAATCTATTAGGCCTATCTGGAAACCACGCCGCTTTGTTAGTGAATGATGACAATTTTAACAGACATCTATGGGGATGTGTGGTGTAATACTGTTGGACTTTAGAGGACATAAGAACCACAGCACCACAAGACTCACTCCACAGCTCTAACAATAACACAGGTTTACAATAGATGGTGCATTTATTTTCTAAATGAGCCAACTAATAAACTTCCCTAATGTAAAAACTAGAGTTCACAAAGTAGGGAGGAAGGATCCACCAGAAATACTTTTTTTCCAGCTTTTTGCATCCCAGACTAGCGTACGTAGCTCAGGTTGGATTTGAAGAACAAGAGCGCCTGCCTCAGAGAATGAAGTTACAGATCGAAGCCACCACACTTGGCCCCCTAACATCACTGTTCAAACAGTATTTATTAGATATATGCCGCATTAAATGATAACAGTTTTCTTGGCTGTAACCAATGGCCAAGCGCAAGCCCAACGTGCACAAAACCTTAGGTTTGCTTCTCCAGCAGGACACACGCAACAAAAATAAATGGCAACTTTCAGTGTCCAATAGGGAGGCAGACACAAGAGACAGCTCCAAGACAGCACTCCAAACAAAGGGACAGAGCAATGGAGGTTCATTCCTACTCCTGTACACTTCAATGAGACACTTCTCACCTCACAGACTTGGGGCTCGGCCACCAGGCCTGCCCTGGTAAATGGAGAGAAGTGTGTCACAGACTGCCAGTTTCACATGTGGACTTAAATAAAGTCCCTCACACTCTGCTTGTCCCTTTGTCCCCTGCTGTGACCACGCGTGATGACTAAACCTTGGTTGTCAACTTTACTACATCTAGAATCAAGTCTTCCCAGTAAGAGATCATTTCCTCGATCATACTATGTGACCCAGGAAGACCAGCCCCAAATGTGGGTGAAATCACCAGGCGGCAGCCTAGATAAGAACAAGGAAGAAGGAAACAGCTCTGTGGCTGCCCGCCTTTACTCCTGCCAAGGTCATTTATCTGGATTCTGAAATTCCTTCACTGATATTAGAGCCAGCTGTGGCTTTTTTCCCCTCTTAATATAGTTTGAAACTAAACTATAACTGCATCTCTGAATGTCCCCTTCTCCCTCCAGCCTCTTCTGTGCCACTGTCTCTCAAACGAGAGGCCCTCCTGCAAAGGACCTATGGTGGCTCAAAACCATCAGTAACTCCAGTTCTAGGCGATCAGACACCCTTCTTCCGACTCCCATGAGTAGTACAGAGGCGCATGCAGTATACATACACACAGGAGAAAATACCCCCACAAAAAATGAATCTAAAAAGAAAAATTAAGCTCCTCTCTATTTTTTTCTATCTGTTTTGTTTTTTAGAGAATCCTGAGTAATAAACCTTGTCACAGAGCCCAGAGATCACAACACAAGGAAACACACAAATTTATCACAGCTGATTCAAATTATGTGCAAAATCATGCTTACTCCTATATGCCCCTAAAACAACAAAACACTTCAACTTTGTACACTAAGTATAAAATTTTCAATATGGAAGCTGAGGATAGGGCTTAGAGGTGAAGCCCTAGGTTTGATCCCCAAGTACTGCATGAAACCAACTAAAATTCACCAACATTTTTATTTACTTATTCTATTTTACAACTTTTTATAAACTTAATTTTTTGCAGTTTTTTGAGGCTCATATTCTGCAGCCCAGGCTGTCCTCAAACCTGCACAAAAGCTCCTGCCGTAGTATTTCAAATACTGTAATCACAAGGTATGAGTGAGCCATCATGTCCAGCTTTCATCTGACTTCTGAAAATAAAGGTTTGCATGTAGAAGCTGAGACCAGGCTGGCCTTGAACTAACAAGAAATCTGTCTCTGGCCGGAGTGCTGAGATTACAGGGGTGCGCCACGGGGGTGGGGGGCCTGGGATTACAGGGATGCACCGCCACCTGGCCACATTAAAGGTTCTAAGACACACTTGGTCAATGCTGAATGAAAAGTTGCAGGATTCTCAGGGCAGAAATCACTACCACATCCCAAAAGCAAAGCTGCACCAAACAGGCCACTGTAATGAATATCCACCATGTGGGGAGAAACAGGTCAGACAGCAGCGTCCATACAAAAAAACGCTTCCAGGCTTGATTCTGAGGGATCTCTAGATGAAAAAATGAAGTCCCAGGTGAAGAGTTCCAGACTGTCAGACTCTAATTCCAACAGATCCACATAAGAAAAGAAATAGGCTAGGCAATCTAAGGCAGGCACTGTTCTCTTTAATGAGCACGAATGTGTGTCATCTTAAGTTTAAGCCTAACTCCCTCATGCTCTATCTGACTGAAGCCACCAGCTACAAAGACAGGAGCATGTAGGGAGGGAAGAAGTACAAGAACTTGTAAACAAGATGAACAAAATTTTCTATACACTGTCACCATTTTTTAAAAAGGAATTCTGCTTACACTGTTCCTATCACATTCTACATGTCTGGTTTACTTGTTTATGAGCAAGTAACCTAAGCAGCTCCTAGGCAAATTATTGGCCTTTTAAGCCCAGCTTTCTGACAGCTCCAAAGTATGCTGCACATTTTCTAAATCAATACAGAAGAATAGAATGAAGCTAACTGACCCTTAAAAAAAAGCCAGAGTGGCCATTGATTATCAATAGCTTCATCATCTAGATCAGCATTGTTATACAGAATCAAACTATGAGAGCCTATAAAACTTGAGAACTGAAAACTATCAAAGTGAGCTAGGCAGTGGTAACATTAGATATGAGTAAAATGCAATAAAAATAGTAGAAGAGTCGGGGAAAATGTAAATAAAAATCTTAGCTATCCAAACACTCGTGTCTCAAATAAGGTGCAAGGTAAAGATGCACAGCTGAGGTTGTCCTCTATCCCCATATACACAAAGAATATATTCACATACCCCAAATACTCTCTCTCTCTCTCTCTCTCTCTCTCTCTCTCTCACACACACACACACACACACACACACACACACCACACACATTTTTAAGCACAAGTGACCAATAAATAGACAAAAAAGAAATGTTTTAACATCTTTAGCCATCAGGAAAATGCAAACCAAAACTGAATTGATATCAACAAGTCAGAATGTCTATCAAAAAAACAAGAAGTGTATGGGAAGGGTGCAGGCAATAAGGGAAACATATTAGTGGAAATATAAACCAGTAAGCCTATCTGTACCTGTATGAAAGTACTTACAAAAACTAAAGAAGCATAATAACCTAACTATACTATTTACGGACCTTTACGTGAAGAAACTGCCAGAATGCCAGAAAATTATCTTCATATACATGTTTATTACAGCAGTGTTCGCAAGTCAAAAAAATACCAATAGTCAATGCCTATCAAATGAATGAAGAGAAAAACATGTCATATACACATGGACTTCTATTCAGACATAGGAGAACAAAATTGCATCATTTTCAGGGAAATGGATGGAGCTGGAAAACATTGTTAAGTTAAACAAACCAGGCTCATAAAGACAAATATTTCATGTTTGTTCCCTTATGAGCAATACAGATTTCACACACACGACAAAATTATGTTTTTTAAAAATGATAGTTGGCAAAAAAAAAAAAGACAAGGAACAGCGATCAAAAGAGGTTAATAAGAGAAAAAATACATATCACTTTCTCTTATATGTGGAATCTACATGTAGCACGAATGCTAAAAACCCAGAGACATATACTGGAGTTCAAGCTGAAGATCAGAAGAGCAAAGCAGCCAGCCAGTAGCTCTTTCCTCTGCCAAGCTGAAATGGAGGTCCCGTCTTCCCTGAGACTAGAAACTGAATCCCACATGAGACCCTTTGCTTCTTCCTTACATACCTCTCTAGTGCTGGGATTAAAGATGTGAGTTCTACCTCTCTTTCAGACTGATTCACTCTCATGCAGCCCTGCATGGTCTTGAACTCACAGAGATCCATCTGCCTCTGTTCCCTGAGTCCTGAGATTAAAGGTGTGTGCCACCACTGCCCAGATTCTGTGGCTGACTAGTGTGGCTGGCTTTGCATTCTGATCTTCAGTGAGTTTATTAGATCATAAACAACATTATCACATCTATAACTGTGTGTGTATGATGAAAACAGAATTATTGGGGGGAATGACTAAAGATGGTAATGGAGAGTAAGAATATGAATACAGTGATCATGAAATCTATTATTGCATATACTAATAAAAGTGATGATAAAACGCGACATCCAAGAAGGGATTATCTGAGATGACCGTTGAGAAGGGTGATAGACAAGAGAAGGGAATAAGAAGTATAAAATACTTTCCTGCTTGGAAAAGTTATAATTGAGTCCATTATTTTATAAAATTAACATGTGCTTAAAAGATCAGTATCATTGTAAGTTTGAGGTTAGCCCGAGATAGTGAGACGTCTCAAAAATAAAAGACACTCTTTTGCTGGGGTTTGGTGGCGCACACCTTTGATCCCAG